AAACATCTGAAATGTATTTAGGAGATTTTACAGATTACATAAATGAAATTTGAGATTTTTGAGATGAAGAAAAGTATTTTTTATCTAAACATGAAAAATCGCTTTGCCCACAGACTATTCAAAACAAATACTCGATATATTCACAGACAAATCTTTTTTAGTTTATTAAAGATACTTCACTAAAAAATAATACTTATAATGTTTACTGAAAGACTGCCAAATTTTGTGAAGATATACACAACATATTTAAAGTTAGCAGCATCAAATCTATAAAGACCTTGAATGAATACAATGAGGTCACATGGTTGGTCAAACTGACCTAGCCCATATTGAGAGAGTTAAATAAATCACAATCTCATACTAACACTCTGAGACTATTAACAACACAACTACCTAATTATATCATCCAAAAACAAGTGTTTGCATAACTTGTCACCTAGTTATACTGAGTTGTATTTCTGGTTTCCTTCAAAATATGTACATCACTGATGCATATGTTTCTCAATCTGAAACACAGCACAACTTTATATTCAAAACTGCAAAATATAGTTTAGTCCAAATATGCTTATAAAATTTCAGTAATTAGAAATTATACATAAAACAAAATAATAAAATTAATATTAAAGAACTCACTATTTGCTTTCATAGTGTCCAGCAGCAATCAGTTTTTCAGCCATAACAACAAAATTCTTAAGTCTTTCATCCTGAGCATTCAGAGTATTCATAAAGTTCTCGTGTCGTTTTAACAAAGCCTCCACATCATCAAGTGTGGTCTGCAAGATTAAAACACCTTCAGAACTATTCTTTTAACACTAACTTGCAATTTTGAATAAACTTTAAATAACTTTAGTTGACTTTAATAATAATAAGAAAACTAGTGGTGACTGATACAAGATCACACTTTCTAAGTAATCACATTTTTTTTAGTTTATTTGAAATGTCTAATGCAATATCTAGTATGAGTAGCTGGAATATAAAACCTGTAACTAAACAAAATTACTTTTAAGACATATGTTGTTATATATATATCCAAGATATTCAAATTCCAAAAAATAATATGGCTGTTGGTAATTCATAATATTATGTGTAATTAGACATAAATAACTTTTACAAAACCTATATAAAAAAAAATCTGTGACAGTTGATAATTTATACATTTATGTGTAATACACAGAAATGGCTTTCGCAGAAATATCTTGCCATTCCTACATCAAAATCTTCAAACTCCAAGAAAACATTGTGACTGTTGGTAATTTATAATACTGTGTAATTAAATAAAAATGATTTTCACCCAAATATACTTTCATACCTACCCCAAGATCTTCAAATTCCAAAAACGCATTGTGACTGTTGGTAATGCTATCAATTTGGTCTGCTTCCCTGTTGAATACCTGATATAACAAAGAGAAAAAAGAACCATAAGCAATTGATCATTCTACTGTACTAATTAGCAGTATATCATCATGCATAATAAATTAAAACTAGACATTTTTTAACATTGTGTGCTTTTACTTTATTTTTTTTCCTTTTTCTTAAGAGTGTGAGTTTAAATATTTATACTTTGAAAGTGAAAAAACTGTGTACTGAATCCATCTATCAAACTTTACCTGTAGATCCATACACTGTCGTAGCCAATCATACTTCTCTTGCCAACCACGATGTATAGCATCATGTTCCTCTTTCAGTTGTACCACCATATTTCGAATGTCTGATGCTTCTGGATTTTTCCGCAATAACATTTTACCTAATTCCTGCACATCATTAAACCTTAGAGTGAAAAAGAAACAAACAGAAATATGGTAGTTTTGGTGACAATTACATGTACACTAGAAATCACACACAAAATATTATGTTCAATTTTAAAGGCTGTGCAATGTAAACACTAATATTAAAATGTGTAAAGACTGTCAACACAATTTATAAAATTTGATACTATTCTAAAAATCTATCATAAGTAGGTAAGGGTCAATTAAGAAAGTTATTTACTTTTAATTGGAACAATAAATTATTTTTATTATTATTTTATATGAAAATAATTATTGTGTTTTAATAGTGTATCAGATATTATTATATAAAAGTTCCCCATATACCCAGAAGCACTAAAATATTCTACTCTAATGCAACCTTTTAAATGTTATAAACAGCCACGTTACTAAAATAAACTTACTCATCTTCGTGAGTTCTGATTTCATTTCCAAGATCTTCATGGTCTTTTAGTAGATTCTCCGCAGTGGTGACATCACGAGCTGGCTCATCACTGTTAAGTGACTGCTTTACATTGCTAACCCAGGATAACTTAGAAAGAGGAAAATATTAGATTTTCACTCTATAATGTTGGAAAAGGTACATATTAAACAATAGAATTAACAAAGCTTTATTTTATAATTCAGAGGAAACATGATATATTAAATAAATTCCTTGTTATCTTTTTTTTTTTAACAAACTTTACTTTTTTAATATAACGTTACTATAAACATAAGGATTAGAAGGAGATTTCAATCATCTAAAATACACATATTTTCAACAATATTGATTCTTACATATACTAAAACTAAAGATGAACATGCAATATCAATCATAAATTTTAGTCCAGCTATGTGATATATGGAATAATAATTGTGGGTTTTATGATAAAAATATTAAATCTGGCACATACGTAGGTCTTTCCACACTATCATTTAATATTGAAGCCATGACAAAAATGGCCACTTGTGGACACCAGCAACCAAATATGGTCAAATTTAGGTTTTTCTTAAAGTAAGATCTATCATTATCAGTATCTTTTTTTTAAAAATAATATTATCATGTTCAGGCATGTATAACAAGAAATATAGTCAATAACATTATTATAGTTACTAGTAAAATAGATGAATGTTTAGAAAAACTGTATTTTTCTCAAAAACTTATAAAATATTAGATATCATAGGCCTAGAAATAACATAATTGAAATAAAAACTAAGTAAAAAAAACATTCATGAGATTGCTGATAACCTTGTTCCTTATATATCCAAAGCTCTACATATTTTCCATGCTTTCACAAGTTATAACATTGTCTTATTTTAATGACAAGGATAAGAAAACTGCATGGGAAATCTTTTGCTTTTCTTGCATTAGCATAATCAAATGAAGTTATAAATGATAATTGTTTGTTATTGAACAGCTTTTTTCATTCTTATGTATAGCCACACTATAAGTCTAGACTATGTTAATGCAACTAGGAAGCAGACATTCAAACAGGAGGAATATTCCACTAAAGCAATTCCTCCAACACAGGCTGGCCTATTTGAGAATATCAAAAAATCTTTGTACTGCCATGTCTGGTTGAGCATATCAAGAGGTCTGTGTATTGCCATATAGAGTTAAGCACATCAAGAGGTCTGAATACTGCAATGAATGGTTGAGCACATCAAGAGATCTGTGTACTGCCCTGTCCAAGTGATTAGGGATGAATGAAGGATGGCTGGATGCCTCAGAAGAGAGACAACACTACTAAAACCTTGCAGTCAGTTCTTCAGATGTGGACATTTAATAGAATGCATGTCAACATAGTGGATATGTGTCGGCCCTTTGTACAGACTGTGGTGAGAGAGGAGAATGTTCTCAAGAACGAAAATAAAATTTGAAAGTCTAATATATGAAATGATAAGTGTTTAATCTAACTAATCAAATCGTCCAAACATTACAGTGTAACTCTTAACCACAATATTTAGGGTAAAGATAACTGTTACAGTGTAAGGTGTGCATTTCTCATCTGTGTGCATATGGAATAGATATTACCTTCAATTCAATTCAATAATTTTAATTATAATGCAAAAAACATCAAGAATTTCAAAATGAATGGAACAGGTCCAATGCATTTATATCAGGTTCAGGTTCTGCTATTGCTAATGTGCAGTGGAAAACTTTCCAACAATAAATCAAATATAGAAAGACATTTTTTAAAACAACATGACAAGCTTCCTAAAACCTGGGAATAAAAAAAGAAGCAATTGAAGAGCTACAGCATAGCACAGACTAAACAAAGTGCACTTTTGCTAATTGGAAAAAATTAACCATCAATACTGCTACTGTAAAAACCATTCACAGATGGGGAATATGTGAAAGAATGTTTTATTAAGACAGTGAAACACCATTTCAGCAATTTCAAAAACAAAAACGAAATTGTTTTAAAAATGTGAGATATTCTATTATCTGCAGACAGTAAGAAACAGAACTGTAGATATGACCACAGACATAACCAAACACCATGTTAGTGACATAAATTCAGTACTAGGGCAAGACAGTGCATTTGCCATCACTGAGTGCTTCAAACAAAAAGAAATTAACATCAACAGATTAATTTCTTTTGCTACCAATGGGCACCATGCATGAAGAGCGCACACAAAGGTTCCATTTCTCTATTTCAAAAAAATATGGAACATGATGTAATCTCATTTCACTGCATAATCCATAAGGAGGCACCCTGTGTGCAAACCTTTCTAGAGGTGATATATAAAGTAATAGATGTAGTGGTACAGACTGTCAACAAAATAATGGCAAGAGGTCTTAATCCTCGGTAGTTTTATGAGCTTCTTAAAGAAATCAGTATCCAGTATTCTGATGTTGTCTTGCATGACAAGGTTTGCATCCTGTCTCGAGAAAGTGAAGGTGTCCCTGTGAGAGAAGGGCACTGAATATGCCCAGCTAACACATCTTCAGTGTCTACAAAAATTCTATTTCATGGTTGATATAGCTTCTCACTTAAAATCGCTAAATCAGAAGCTACAGAGAAAGGGGAATACTGCCATTTTGCTTTTTGAAAAAGTGCTTTCTTTTGAACAAATGCTGCCATTATTTGTGAGGGACATTAAGACAGACATGTTGGTGCATTTCCCAACATTTGCTGGAGTTGACTGAGTACAATTCAAACTTGAATTAGCAGACTTGTAAGATAAGATACTTGGAATTCCAAATTCAAAGTTTTCATTACTGAGTTAGAAAATCTGGAGAAGCAGAAATCTACCTTGGCACTACAAAACATGTGGTATGAATTGGATGATCTTAAAAAACAAGAACAAATTGTAGTTGAAGTTTGGAATTGTCTACCTCACACCTACAGTCAACTGAAACAACATGCATTTGACCTTCTGTCAATCTTCGGGTCAAGATACATTTATGAGTAAGTGTTTTCTAGCATGAGCTTCATAAAAAGCAAATTGAGGAGCCAACTGAAGGATGTGAGTCTTGAGACCTGCCTAAAAATGAAAATCATAGGATATTTGCAAAACATCAAACAATTCTTGAAAGAAGTCCAACAGCAGAAGTTGTATTAAAAGTGGTAATGAGTTAAAAAAACAAGTTTTTATATCTAGCTATTAAACTGTTTGTTTTTCTAATAAAAGTAAATAACTGAATATAAGGTACTTATTATTGTGAGATACATTTCATTCCCATTTTTTATTTCTTATTTAAGTAAGTATATCGTATGTTAATATTTAGTATATTCATATTCATGAATGTTGCAGCTCTCAAAATGTTTTGGTCTTAGACAAAAACATTAAAAGGCTTTTCTTCTTTAAAGGGTTGCTGACCCTTGATCTAAATACTTATGAAGTATATAAGGATTTTCAAATTATGTGGCAAAGCTTTAGTCAAAATATAAGTAATTAAAAGTAGTACCACCACAGCATGAAGGTTTAAAATAAAATACAGCAATATTCATATATAAAAGCAATATTACATTACATATTATTACTTTTGGAAAGACTCAGGCTTTTACTCAAACATATTATATAGTCATCAAAATAATTATGGAACATACTGGTGATATACATGCAGAAGCCACAAAAACTATGTTCAAATAACAGAGGTTGAATAGTTTACATTTCAGCCATAACAAGATGGAGAATTTATTTATGGTACAAAAAATTACCAAGGAAAATAAAAAAATAAAGCAAATAAGTTGTACAATGCATTAGTATTGTTTTATGTGAAGCCTTTGTGGAAACAGAACATCACACTTTGTTTCCATACTTACATACAGTTTATCAAGGTACAGTTGTGGAATATTGTTTCAAATGTCTTGTATTACTGCCCACAATTTAGCAAAGTTATTTAATTTCCTTTTGACCATCTCAGATTTTACAGAAGTCCATACACCCTCAAGAGTGTTCATATCACATGTTTGTGCAACCAAAGTCGTGGTTGTAATTGTTCCATCAGTTTCTTTACTAATCAAGCCATTTGTTAGAGGGGAAAATATGATGGATTAGAATCTGCATGTACTTACCCATGGGGCAGGATGCCATTTATTTTGTGTAACTCACTGATACTGTTGACTGAGATGTAACCCCAAACATCCACCAATCCCCAATCCTGCTTCATTATAGATGTTTTACACTGACTATGATACCATTTTAGTATCTACTGTTAAACAAATTGTTAATGATTGATGCCAAAAAACTCAATTTCAATTCATCTGCAAAAATCACATTATTCTATTTGTGGTCTGATACCCATTTTGAACTTTCAGTTTACTTATCTGTTTTCAGCAGTGGTTTACAAGCAACTACATGTCCACTGAGACCACTTTGTGCTAGCAAGTGTCTAACATTCACGTTGTTATTTACAGCATGGTTGTTGACATGATTTATACTCAACCACCATCCATCTTGTAAAAAACATACCATGAGATATTTAACATTACTTTTGGAAAGTTATAATTTTCCAATACTGAAATATATTTCTGATAGGTATTTACCTCTACTCACATAAGTAGCTATTCTTGTTCAGTGCTGCCCTCTATATGAAAAAAGAATTTTACACATGTCACAGCCTTTTATCTCCCCTCAATTGGAATTGACTGATTCCAGTGCATCTGTCATGCAAATCATAATGCAACAACCCTCAAGCAATAAGGGTATGACATACTCTCTTGACGTATATGACTCCATCTATTCAATTCTACCAAACTATCAGTTCAAGTTTTGACAGGAAACAGAAACACTGGTTTTCAGTAGGGAGGAAGGGTAGGGAGTGTGAGATGGAGGTAAGTACCTATCGGAAATACATTTTCAGTATAGAAAAATTATAACTTCCTATATGGTACATTACTTCTGCTCACAAAAATAGCTAGAATCCCACATTGAATAGCTTGAGGGACTGGTGCAAGAGAAAGAAAGAAGCATCCTTTGAAAGCATCTGAAGGACACTTCCTAAGAGGAGACAGTCAGATTCTAAGACCTGATGTGGGGGGACTGCACCTCTTCTAAACCAGGCATATTCTTCACCCATCGAAGAAAGATGTCACACACATG